TATCTAATCGCATTTTACGTATCGGGAACGTCTTGTTTATAAATTTATAATAAATTTATTTTTATATTTTCAACCATAACTGGACTATTGTATACTGTACCTTGCAAGTTGAAAAAGGATTCAGCGTTGTTGTTCAGCTTTTGACGAAACGAAGAAATCGGTTGGACATTTGTAACAAAGGTGTCTACGTTTAGCTTTGACCAATATCGAACCAGACATCGCCACGTTAGCAGCTACTCATCAGGCTCAGGGCAGTCATTGATAGGTATAATTTTTATATTTTATAATTTTTTTTTTTCATAGTTAAGTAATTCTTTTTGTATAGTAAAGTAAAATTTTTTTGTTTAATTAATAATGTTATACTGTAATATACTGATGAATAAATAAATATATATATATATATATATCTTTATTAGAAGAAATTTTGATAATGAGGGGGGGCGTTAGCAGTAAGTTATTACGATAAAGGGGGCGCTGAACTAAAAAAGGTTAAGAACCACTGATTTAGACCATAGTCAATAGGGTTTCCGATACTTTCCTACTATGTATATGCTGATATCAGCGGTCTTCAAACTTGTTTGTTCCTAGCATCACAAAATAGATAGGTACCTATCATCACAGTTGTAATAGTTTATTTCAGTACCTATGCGCAACTCCTTCATCTCCGGCCTATGTCGTAGTTCTCCAATTCTGATTGGCTGGTTTTCTCCTATGTTATATACATATATATAATGTATGTACCTATATGATTGACTGTCAATAAGAAGTTGAGAACTATGATATAGTAAAGAGCGGACTGCGGAGGATGCGTATCAAAACACTGTAATGATACCTATCTATTTTTTCATGGTTCGTAGTGTTATGTTGCTAAGAAATATCTTGCAATTTCTTGTTAAATCTATTGATTTAACTCTTTTTCGAAGTGGGAAGATCTACAAAAACTCAAGCTGTGATGCCTGTTGATGTACACCCATTCTATAATAATCTTCCACATAAAAAAAATTTAAAACTAGAAATAGTGTAATAATTATTACATTAAAGACTGAAAAAAATTGTTTATTTTATTTAAGACTGACAGAAACCGTCATTATTTATTTAGTTGAAGTACACATTGTTCATTTATTTTTAATTTTAGTCTTTGTTAAAAAAATGTTTATGATTTTACTATTAATTTTGTTATATTAATATTATATTATTATTTTGTATTCAAATATTAATGACTGAAAGAAGCAGTTTATAATATTAGTTTTCAAAATGCTTATGATTTTACTATTAATTTTGTTGTATCAATATTATGTTATTATTTTGTATTCAAAAGTTAAAGACTGAAAGAAACAGTTTATAATAATAATAATCTTTATTAACGAAAATATAATTCCAAATTAAATTTTTTTTTATATTCGTTTTCAAAAATGTTTTTGATTTTACTATTAATTTATATATACGAGGTATATCCAGAAAGTAAGTTCCGTTTTGTATGTATATTTTGCATGGGAACAATTTAATCATCCGCCCTATAGTCCAGATTTGGCACCCAGTGATTTTCATCTTTTTTTACACATGAAATCATTATTGGTGGCCAGAACTTCAACGAAGATGATGAGGTGAAAAAGGCTATTAGCGCATGGTTACAATCACAGGCGTCATCTTTCTATGATGAAGGGATACAAAAACTAGTACCTCGATATGATAAGTGCTTAAATAATGGTGGTAACTATGTTGAAAAATAGAGTAATACATGTATTTTATATTCAAATAAAATTTATAATAAAATTTACACATTTACATGTTTTTATTGCCCAACGGAACTTACTTTCTGGACACGCCTCGTATTTGTATATTACAACTTCCCTCACGTTACCCCAGTACTCGGGTAGTGTAACAAAATACATCATGGTATTCAATGTTATTTCAATTTATGTGTTTATTGCTAAGGGCATACAATGAATATTAAAAAACCATAGACAATATATTCTATCTATTAAGATAAAAAAAAATTGTGGGTAAAAACAATGTTGTGGTACAGATACAGTTATAAAAAGTGTTAAAACTGTAGGTACCAGGTCTTCTTTATATTATATTATACTAGAGTTTATTAGATACTATTTAAAACCTTACAAATTATAACACATTACCATGGTAAATGGCTGTATGTCTTGAATATTTTAACAACGTTATTAACATTAATACAATTTAGCCAATAGTTTATGGTTTTGTTTCAGATATCTTCAATTTCAGGAAAAATTAATTCTTTGTCAGATAAATATGAAGACTTATTTTCAAAATCAGATTCACTAGCTAGATAAATTATGAATATTAAAATAATTTGAATTTCATTTTAAACTGGGTACTTATATTCCATACGACATAGGTAAAGATAAGCCGTTAAATCCTATCTCATTCCTAATTTCATTATCTTAATCCATTTTGTACTTTTCCTTCTCAGTTATATTTTATTTACTAATCAATCATACCATCCTACTTCACTTTTTTCTTTGAGAAATTTCACATCTAATATTCAGTGAATTACTAATATTATGTACAATATATTATACATTACCAAGTAAATCCGTAGTTTTTATCCATATTGTGACATGTAAGTTTTAAAGACTTTTCTTTGGGACATTTTGATAATAACCCACTTTGCTTCATCGTTCAAATGGTGTTTAAGTATGTATACAATATAAATGTGGGGAATTCATGGCATATTAAACAAAATGTATATCCTATAATAAATCGCAATAGAAATTAGAAATTTATTTATTTAATAGGTGTATTATTAACTACTTAAGACCTACTTATATTAACTTGAGTTACAAAATATGTCAAATATTTCAGGAGATTAGTCATTACTGATTATGGTCTGTGAATGAAAATTCTGTAGCCAGTGCGTCCTCGTCATTTATACTCGTTCTGATGTTGTGTTCTATGGTGTGAACTTTGATGACAATCTTCTGGTCCCATTTTAATAAGCATAATATACCACTTTCGTTAAGGTACAGTGTGAAATTGTGGTGGAGGATTGGGGACATTGAACAATGTCAGAACAGCATTTGGTTTGAATTTCTTCCAACCATCAGCACAATTTTTTTCATATTGACTTTGTTGAAAATGGAGCTGTAATAATTAATTGATTAAATGATAATAATACACAATAATCATAAAATAGAATATAAAAATGAAAACAAAAACACTTAAAAAGTAGTTTCTTATCCCACATAGTTGTGAACTTTTCGTAGGAACAAATTTATTTCTTCGAGTATTTCATAGCCATCTCTTTCTCCTCTCTTCATTAGTAGGATAATTAAACATTTAAAAACCTTTCTTTTCACTATTTGATTGCTGTACAGCCAAATATATTATTTATATTTTGCATTAAAAGTAAATAAAGTAAAATAATTTAGTTTTAAATTACTCCTCACGTTGGGTTCCATCACTGGTTGGCCTCCCTCTTCATATTATTCAAAGTTAAAAATGTACATAAATTATCCAATTTACTTATTGTGTGGTCAATCACAGATTGTAAATATCAAATAGGTAAATAAAAAAAAAATTACTTCTAATACCTACCTAGGTACATCACACATTATAAATTATAATATAATAATATTATATTATAAATTAAAGACCCTATAGAACTGATGTTCATTTGAAGTGATACACCAATAAAGAGAAAAGGAGAAAAGTGGAGGCTTGGTATACCAATCTTTACAGGACACTACTTTCATCAACTTATTATTGTTCTATGCTTTCATGGTAAGCTTCCAGAAATAATTAACAAAATTACCAGGAAGGCAGGAACGATATTTACCAGCGTAATGGTATTCACTGAACTAGAGCACGTGTATGGAGCACTAACATCGACTATCGAGTAATAACCTAGTTTACCATCTATATTATCAAAATGTAGCAATTTCGACTCGATATTTACATTATGTATACTCTGTAAATGAGCAATTAATCCAGACATTGATGAAAATTATATTGAACATAACAAACATAATGATTGACGCTGTATATTTTTCATCAAATGGCTTTTGACATGATGAATCAAAATCTTTTTCAAGTTTAAAATTTAAATTTTCATTACAATCATTAGATATTGTTACAAGTTACATTTAATAACTTTAGTTTTTTTTATGTCATTGTGTTTATTTTTGAAATGGAAAGAAACTTTGTCTCGCAAACTTTACGGGAAAACATAATGAAACAAACTTATAGTAAAAGTACCAAAATTATTTTTTAATTTAAATTGTTTTTAACTGTTAAAAAACAAAACATTGATATTCTCGTTATCAAACATTTTTCCTGATAAGAACCAACCGTGTATTCACTATTCATTGATCGAATCATCAGCTGTGTTAAAATCAGCTGAGTTTGCGGCTGACTGTCGACTGCCGAGTGGACGACCTCATCAAAAATGAAAATACCGAAATCGAATATCGAACCAAAACAAAACAAAAAAATTGGAGAGCTGCCGCACTATTGCAGCAACATCGAACTAACAAAATATAATAGTTTATCGCACCAATAAAATAAAGGGTACAATTATTATTAATAATTGCACACAAGGCTTACGACAGTTTTCGTATTTTTTTGTTTATGCAATCGCATGCCCCCGTCCACCGAGTACCGACCAAACGCACTACGACAAGTGACAACAAGTAACAACTGTCGGACAGTTACTGTCCATTACAAATAGTGATAATTGATATTATTATCATCTCGTCCGCATTATCATCGTCGCGGTTGTTATTGTTCCTAACTACGCCGTTCACCGTTCGCGGTCGGCGAGTTCGCACTGCTGAGTAGTACTAACGGAGATGCTGATCCTTTACGTGTTGTACCACGATCGTATACTTGCCAGGCTGATCATCCTATTGCTACTGCTGATGCTCATGATTTTCGTCGACTTTTACGTGACCCACCGCAGTCAAAACTTCATCAAGTCGTTCAACAAGAAAACTAACAACGTCAAAAGTTAAACGCTACACACCGCCATGGACCCGATGCCGTCGACGTCTTCCGAGGTACCTATCCGCTTATTTATACGCTCGCCAAAATATTGTTCCGTTACGGGGAGAGCTGGTACTGCAGTGTAGTGTTTATCGTCAACCTCAAGTTATTATGCAATAATGCTAATTAATTATTTTGCAGGACGAAGCCAAAGTGTTGTTCCGCAAGGGAGTCGACTACGAACGTGAGGGTTTCCACTACGAGGCGACGCGTTGCTACAAGCAAGCCCTGAAGTTGGACCCTGATGTTGAGAAAAAAATTGCTGATGAAGAATTAGTTTTACGCTCTATGGATACAACTGGTGAGAACTGTAACTTTAGTATTTGTCGAATGGACTTAACGTGTTTTCTTTTTAGCGGATGAAAATAATGTAAGCAATGACACAAGCGAAGACGAATATGATAACAAAGAAGACCTTTTCTTGAGATTTCAGAGAATATTGGGACCTCTAATATGCCTTCCAGCACGTGCACAGCTAGTATGACAATATCCAACTCTTAAAATGTTTTGATTGTTCTATTATTATTTTATTTGTGTTTTAGACCACTCATTTTTCAGCTCTTCCCCCTGAGCTCGTTATATACATATTTAGGTGGGTTGTATCTTATGATCTCGATCTGCGTATGTTAGAACAGTGTGCAGCAGTTTGTCGTGGTTGGTACTTGTGTGCCAGAGATCCCGAGTTGTGGCGTCGAGCATGCTCCAAGTAAGTTAACTTAACAAGCGTTTTAATTATTTAAAAAAAAAAAAATTTAGGTACTTGTTTATTATTGCCCGCCATCCTGAGTGATTGTTCGTTGGACTATGCTGTTTGTTATAATATAATACTGTTACAAAACTTTCAAATAATAATATATTCTTTACAATTAATAGTGGAGTAGGTAAAAATTTAATTAGATAATATCTCATAATTACACATAAAAATAATAAGACAGTTTTATAAACATCCTTAAATGTTACACATTTTATTTGTTTTAAGAATATATTTCTGTATTAAAAATTAAATGCTAATATTTAATATTGCAGGAAATAAATCATTAAAATGACTTTATACCAATATTTATTCTCTCCATCTTACAAGTGCATAACATAGCAATTTGTGTGCTCAGCAGAACATGTGTAACTCCGTGTTAGTTTAAAAATTAGAGTTAAATGATGTCTTATAAAAATTAAAAGTAAGATTATTATCTAGGCAACCTCATGGGAATTGGGATTTTTATTATATTTTAATTTTATAGCAAGTTATGAGTATTTTAAGATGTAAAAACAACTTACAATTTTAAAATACTCATAACTCTCTTTAAAATTAAAATATAATAATAAACCCATTAGGTTCCCTAGATAATAATTTTACCTTTAGATTTTAAGAGGTCAATTTATTCTAATTTTTAAATTACAAAGCTATTCGTGTTCTGCTGAGCGTAAAATTTGTTATGTACGGAGACAACACGTGCATGTATCACATCCTCTTAAAATTAATTTTTAACAATATTTTATAACAAGCTAATAACGTTTGCAAAATAGGTTAGATACCCACTTTAAATTATACATACCTGCAATATAACAACAAGTTGACTACATACTAATATGATTAAAATAGAAATTAAAATATTATAAGCAGTATTTACCCCTTTTCCATAAATAGATCACATACTAGACTAACCTAAAAGTATGATATTGTAGAAATTTAGAGAAACATTGATCATAAACATCAACATTTTAGATGGATTAGGTAAAGACTGTTTGTATATTACGGATGTGAGGTTGCCTGGAAGAAGGGTGATAAATTGTATATAGTGCTCGACTTAAGTGACAATAATAAACAAGAACCTAAAACACTGTTAAAACATTAATACACTGAGTACCACTGAAAGTAATCACAAATGGTTCAGGCCATTTTGATTCTATTAACCAGTTGATTCCATAAAGCATCTTTTCTTCAATATAATATTTGATTGAAGATTTTCAATTTTGATTCCAATATACGGTTAATTCTATAAAGCAGTGATCACATTAAGCGGAATTTACTGTATTATTATACTTTATTTTCTTGATATATACTATATTGAATTTAAATTTGTGAGACTAAATTAGTGAGTTCAGAAGTTTAATAATATTAAATTTCCAAAAATAAAACTAACTTATCTAATCTAATTGTATTTGAAGTTGTGTAAAGATATTTTAACGAATTCTAAAGTTTTTGATTTAATTTAATTACCTATTTATTAGTTTTATCAAATACAATTCAATTTATTTTTATTCCAACTATCTATTATACAATTTACTTTCAGTTGATCTTGTTAAAAATGATTTAATATATTTTATACTTTGGACATATTTTGAGAAGTAACCAGTCATTTTACCCATTAGTCATTAACCTATTTATTTTTATAATTTATTAAATTTAATGAAAATAATTATAATTATAATTTGTATATAAATATATGTGAAATTAATTTTTTACTTTTATTTGAATAATTGAGTATTAGTATTTCTTTTATTTAGATTTTGGCCTTCAAATGTCAACGACTTAGTCCCGTATGATGGAAGTTGGCGACAAATGTTCATAGAACGACCCAATGTTCTGACAATTGGTTGTTACATATGTAAAATAACTTATGTTCGAAGAGGTGAAGAATCTTTCAGAGACAATACTAATGGACCTTCTTTTCAAGTTGTTTATTACAGATACTTAAGGTGATCATTTTTTTAAATTTCTTTATTTACATAAAGTGAATGTCACAATAAACATTTAAAATATTAAAATACTAACAATTACACTAATATTTATCCAGAGTAATTAATTTATTACATTTCTATGAAATATTTAGCAACTAGAATTCAGAAATTTAGTAATACTATTTTAAACATTTGTTTTTATTACATATTTTACAATAATAATTGTGATTTAATAATATGATGTTTCAATTCAAGATTTTTTCGAAATTGATCAAAACTTGTTACAGATTTTGATTTTTATATGTATGACAACTGATAATACTTAACTACAAGACTTTAAAATATTTATTTCAATTAAATTATTTATAAATATTAGTAAAACTTTATAAAAGAATATAGGGATGGTCCACTTTATATTAATAGTGATTCACCCAGATCTGAGTTTATTTATTTTTTATTTTTAAGTTATTCAACACATAATTTGACTAAAATGTATATTTTGTTTTGGGTATTAGGTTTTTTTCCGATGGCCGTGTTTTGATGGTGCTATCTTACAATCCTCCATATAAAATAGTAAGAAAGTTACAAACAAGAGAGAAGGCACCTTTCAATGTGTCCCCTGGACACTATAGATTGTCTGGTAAACAATTATTTTTGACTCTTGACAGCGAAGATAAGGAACGTGATCGAGAATTTAACAGAAAATATGGCTGGGAAGACAACACTGAAAGGAAGACTACTTATAACATGGTATGATACCAATCTTTTGAAACAAATAAAATTCTAACTTACCTACTACCGTCAATTTTAGCTCAAAAGATCTTAAGTTTTGACAAAATTAATGTTAGTTTACGCTGTCCGTATTTGATTCTGAAAAAAAATTTGAACTTGACATAATATTGTCCATTTATGGTACGGAACACTTTGTTAAAATTAAAACTTATATTATTGTGAAATTATTGTATCATTGCATCATTTTTTTCAAATCATTATTAAAATTCAAAATGGAAAGTGTTTTGTACTATTTATGACAGATATTTTTCTGTTGAATTCAAATATTATTTCAGAATTAAAATTAGACGACGTTAACTAACTTTAATTTTGTCGAAACAATAAGTAAGTTGTCGTAAAATTTGTATTGTAAATTTTATATTATTATGGAGTTTTTGGCATGTGCATGCATGTATGAAAGTGATACCCACATTTAATTTCACTCAAACTAATAATCATTTACAGCTAACGCATAGATCCCGAGCGGCTAAGACAAGATTAGAAATTTCCTAAATGTTACTCCTAAAATAATAACTATAACGAGACCCTTAACTTAACTTATTTTTTTTTTTTTTTAATCTAGGTTTTAGAAATTTCAAAATACAAATCAAAACAGAACTGGAAATTGCAATGTATAGACTATGAAATAGTTTATCAAAGCCGAGTTAACAAAGTAAAGGTTACAAAATACGATTTAACTAATAATCGTTTTCCACCATTTATATTTTCACGCGTAAAATGCTACTCAAATGAATCTGAACGTGTACTATAAGTATAAAATAATAAGCTCGGCCATACATTCGAGACTGTTTAAAAGATTTTTGTTTATTATAGTTTAATATATTATGTATTATTTATTTATTATTATTATTATTATTATTTATGTACTGTGTTTAAGACTATAAATTAAATTTAAATTCTGTACTGAACAATGACCTGTGATTTCTTCAAAACAATTTAATTTTGTATCTTCAATGTTACCTGAGATTACACAAAATTGTGTAATTAATTATTTATTTTATAACAGTAAGTACTTAACATGTCGTAATTATAGTACAACCTAACCTAAATAACATCTTCTAATATACACAAACCGTACTTCTGGTTGATAATAGTGAATTATTAATTGTTACAACTTTCAATATATTATTATGTGTTTTCGTTGAGGTTACGATAGCAAACAGTTTGCTGACTGTTTACTGATCTAACATAATATGAAGTTTGCTCATTGTCAAAACAAAAATGTAGTATAAACCAAACAGTTAAAAAAATCAGTTTGCGACAGGAGCAAACATTTTAGTAAATAGTTTTAATTATGGCTTAAAGAATTTTAAGTGAACCTGTAACTTTTAATCGTACGAATATCTCAATAATTTTAATATATTATGTGTATTTTAATAATTATTTAACAAAAAAGCCAAGCAAGGTTATACATTTTATTATGGTGTGTGTGTGTGTACCAATTTTATTTAGCCAATTTAATGAATTTGTTATTAAATAATATTGAGTTTCCTTTGATGTTCAACTATTACATTTACATAGCAGAACTTGTATGTGTTTATTTTATGTATAATTATCAATAGAATCTAAATATATTTCACAATTTTTATACGGCATATTAGAATTCATGATACTTATCATTTTCTATTGTTAAGGTAACTTAATATGTTATTCTGTGGTAATATTATATCTCCTAACTTGTTATTAACTACTATTATACCTAATCAGACATGTACCCTATGTGTTTAGTGTAATGTTATCTTTTTGTGAATATTTTTACTGTATATTGATGTGTTTTTTTTTAAGTGTACTTATTAAGAAAATTATATGATTTTAATTATTAATAGTATACTCTAAATAAATCTTTGACTGGAGTAAAAAAAGAAGATAAAGTCTTGAATTTATTTTCAATGGTTGGGTTAAACATTTATAAAGTACCTATATAAGCTATAGAGTATTAGAATCAAATTGTATGAAAATGGAAATATCTATTGACTAGGTTAGTAAAAATAAAATAAAAGTGAATAATTTTTATGGCAAAAAGTGATTTTTTTCATCTAGAGAATCACATACAAAAAAAACTAACAACTTAATGCTGTCAAGTGTTATTATTTGCTTAGCTAAAATTATAATCGTTTATTTATGAAAAAAAAATAAAAGCTTTTTCAACGAGTTTTATATTTTTACATTGAAAGAATGAAAATTTGACAACAGATTATAAGGCACCGTCTACCAACTCGAGAACTGTGGTCATTACCAAGTTTCAAGTCAAGACATTTGAGTTCGGTTTTGATGTCGAAATCCAATATAAAGTGTACGGAAATACGGAATTAATAATTATAAAACACATTCTACATTTCTACACCTACGAAATGAATAACTTACTTAATAAGAGCATTGTCGAAAAACCAATAAGTACCTGTACTTATTGTTTACTAAGTTTAAAAAAAAGTACCTGTACTATGTAGATATAATATAATATTTGAATATTATAAGTAATGTTCTTATTTCATAATTTGATCTTTTAGATTCTAAGCGGAGCGATGAAAGTATTGATTTTAAAATTATGTATGTTTTTTTTTTAATTTTTTATTTGTGCGTACACCGTACACGATAATAACACAGAATAAAAATATAAGTCTGGACCATCTATGACCACGGTCTTATAAGATAATAGAATTGATTATATAAATATTATAATATCATAATATTAATTAATTAATGATAATAGTAAAGAACAATCAATCAATTGTAACCATCTGCTACATAATAATATTACCTACTAGCTGGCTATACAAGCTAACTATACCTACTGGCCACAATAGAAGCTATAAACATGACATTACCTAATATCGTTTATTTGTTTTACCTAACAAATCATTATTTGAAAATATCCATTGTTAAGTGTTTGGCTCCACTCGTCCGTAACAGCAAAGTTCGTAATTTTCAGTACTAAGGTCGTTCGTTTGTTGCAAAACCTTACAGAGATGGACTTGGGAATTTCAACATGCCTGCAGCGGTCGTGCGAATGTGCCAGCTTGGGTCATCGATGTGTAGTTGACACACTCGATCTGGCAGTCGATAGTCGGATCAAGGCCGTTTCTTTCCCGTTGAGGCGCAGACATTATGGGTGTGATAGTTTCCGGTCGGCACCCGAGCTCAATAAAATTGACTCACCAGCTGTGTACTCGCGCCCAGAGCTGAGAAGTCTGCAGTCACCCGTGTTGTACGGCGGTGTGGATACCGCGGTGGTTGCCGCCGCATCGACGGTGACTCGTTTTCCGGATTTTCCCGTGACTGCAGATACGAAAGCCGTTAGTCTGAAACCGTAGCGACCTCCGCGCGTCCGGTCATTGATCGCCGCTCTGGACTTGGCCGGCTATCGTACGGTCTCTCTGGCTGTCGGGCCACCGGTGCGTCTCGAAAATGCCAGGTCGTGCCCAGAGCTGAAAATGCAGTCACCCGTGTACGGCAGAGTATTCAGAATACCGTCGCTCCGGCACCAGCGGAAATCCTGGCACGGTCTGAACTCCGCAAATCCCAGTACACCTGCAGCGAGGGTCGATGTCTCGTTGACACTCTCGACCTGGCAGTTGATCGCAGGATCACGACCGGTGGTCTTCCGTTGCGGCGCAGTCATGGTGATAGTTTCCGGTCGTCGTCGCCCGAGCTCACACTTGACTCGCCCGTGTACTCGCGTCCAGAGCTGAAAAGTCTGCAGGCACCCTTGTTGTACAACGGAGCTGTGAATACCGTCCAGCCTGAACCAGAGGAAATGCCGCAGAAACCGGCCAGGTCCGAACGTCGCAAGTCCGCGTTTACAAGATCGAGACGGTTCATCTGGAAGGGTTTGGTAAACGCGGCGCGCAGACTTTGTTTCTGCAGTAGCTTTGTGGACATCATGGAGTGAGCTAAGTTACCACAGTGGTCGGGGCTGTGTTACCGGAAGTCAGTCGCCGATCGTTCGTTGTTTTTGCTATATTCGTCTATAACTCTATAACTTTATTCGAGTTCCTCGAACCGTTACGTTCGAGTTATTAAGTATTAATTGTTTCCGTTTTGGGTTGCCGCTCAGTTACGTGTACCCCATTTCGAAGTCCGCTGTCGCCGTTTCCAGCAAGATTATGCTTAAAGTTAAGTTGCAAACTTGTGTTCTACATTTTTTTTTTGCATATATTATTGTAAACTTAAATTGTTTTTGCTAAAAATATATTATTATTATGTGGTAACAAGCTAAACTTTGTAGGTACTCACCATTTTTTGTATATTCAAATACCCAATAGATATTATACATGTATAATATACCTAATAGTATTATCTATTATAATAAACCACGATATACCTACAACCTACTAACATATTGATTTGTTATATATATTATATTATTTACTATGGTCATTTTCTCACTCAACTCTTCGAAAGTCGCAAGCCGGACTAATGTATCCTTATCAGGTTTGCGTTTATTTGTCATAGGTATTATGTTCTATGGTTGTAATAAACTGAATAGTGAATACTGATAACTGATAATAAACTTTAAAGCTTGTAAAGTAAAATACTAAACCATGTGGCCATACAGCATAGCACTATTACTTAAATAGTTAAATATTAAATGTATAATGTAATTAATAATTGAACTATTATATTATGTATAGTTAGTTTATGTTGTAAACCATTATAAGTAGACAGACAGTTTAAATTTCTTTAATAGCATAATATAGGTAGGTACCTAACAAAATAGTTGTTGAATCATTAAGTTTGTCCAAAATATTCCATTGAACTTAAAATTTTATTACATTATACCTAAGTCGTAATTTGGGATATATTTATGTATTTTATTTGATATTTTAATCAAAAATATATGTATTTAAGTTTATATTATAAAGTGTGATGTAAATTTGATAGTACATGATTACCAACCACTTGGAAAGCACAACATTTGTACTTACATTAAGTTTATTGATAAGTTTTCTTAAAATGTATACGTAGAAAAATTGTTATGATTAATACATTAATTTGTACATACATTATTATACATTACTATGACGTCTTAACAGTTTTTATTTAAATTTTATTTTCAGTTAAATCAGTTTTGTTCATTCAGTTACACCACCAATAAATGTTATTCAAAGTTTGATAACAAAAAATTTGTTATACTCTTAAAGTTATTGGCCGACACCAATACACCATAGCACAAACCTAATACAACTTCATATATTATTCATTTACTTATTATAATCTACTTGGAAACAACAAGATGGTTGCCTATCTACATCATATACATTCTTAAAAATATAATGTTCTCTGTTCAGAAGTACTTATAAGTTGCATATTATATTCAAATTTTACATTCTGGCATAGTAATTATTATTAAGAGTTACTAAGTTGATCTGTATTTACTACAAATATACTTGGCCAAATGATTTGGAGATAGATATTGGAATCACATAATTTTCTATCTTCCATTACCTTTTCCAAACGAGAACAATGACAAATAAAAATGTTGTTTCCCACATACTATTTTAATAGTTGAGAGTGACTACAAAATGAATTGAGTATGTAAACATATTTTTTTACCGTTAAATAATTTGGTTATATTTATCCTTTTTTAATTTATTAGATAGTAAATACTCAACTACTCAAGTTAATTTCAAAGAAGATTAAAAATCAATTCTGACAATCTGCATTCCAGAAAAAAATCTTAATCCCAATAATATGTATAGTAAACTAAAAATATGTTAAATGAAAATAGTACATGCTAATGTTTTTTTTTTTTTTAATTTTAACAAATATTATACAATTAAGTTAATTAAGCTAACAACATCAATCAATCATTGATACTTAAATGGGTGGTAAAATGTATGTTTCTAGAAAATTAAAAAAAAAAATCATAAATTACTCACCTTCATTATTATACATGGTATTATTAAATATTTTATTTAAATAACTACTTTGTTATAATATTAGGTAGGTATATGTCTTAATCCTAATATTTATGTATCATAAAAATATTTGTATTTAAAATTATATTGTTTTAGTGTTTTGCAACTGAATAGTTCTTCTGTTTGATTGGTGTTGTTAGCTATTTATTACCACCTACGAAATCTAAGTTAAAATATTATTAGTCCCATTTTAAAATTTTACTGTATCTTTTTAAGTTAGGGGTTAAGTTGAGTTTGTTTCAATTTTTTTGAATACATGTTATGATCTTAACTCATATTTTACATTACTGCATAACGAATATTTTGATCTAACTGTATCATTTAATTTGGAATAGATTTATCATAGTCCTGGGCTTTTAAATATTATGGTATTATTTTTGAAGGGTGTTTATCTAGCAGGTGCTCTATCAAATTTTATAAAAGTGCATTTCTTTCATAGTAGTAATTGTAAAGTCGATCAAGTGCGCTTCTACTCCTTTATTATTTACCTATTAATTATTATAGTTATTACTTATTACATACCTACTTCTCAATTTAAGCCGAAAACTATAATGTATTATTATTATGATAATGTAGGTACGCCTGATTTTGATAATAATAGAAACATAATTTTCATATAGTAGCACTAATCAATGGCGGTAAACTGTTTGAATGAATTCTTATTTGATTTGATAATCCTAAATAAAAAAATATATTAATAATTAATGATGAAATATATTTTAAACCTAATATAGGTATGTACAATGTACATATTATTATAGGTACCTAAATCTTGTAGTGGATCACTTCTAGTAAATTGGTAGATCACCTGCTATACAAATGCCTTTTATAGTGGTTCATAATAATAGAAATATAAAATGGGGTGATTTCAGTCACGACATATTGAAATAGCTAAGTTGTTTTTTACATATTATTACCTTATTGCTTGTAACAATATTCATAATTATGTATATAATTTGTCACGGGCAACGCCATGCAGGATCAGCTAGTATAGTTATATTATTTAAATATCTATCAACAATTAAAATTCAAAAGTTAATAATTTAAAAAAAATATTATATTATTATACCAATATTTACCACCAGAGGCAGATTTACTCTGTCTAGGGTGGTAAAATATAGAGGGGGAAAATTCTGTGGTGCTTTATTAAAATATATCTTACTTATAAAAGAGTAGGTATTGAAATTAGATTTCTTTATATTTACGAAAAATAATTGTATAATTATTAACAATGTATAAGTATAATATATTTTTGTAAGTATAATATGATTTGAATGTGGCCACAAATTACTTATCAAACTCGAAAGCCACTGCCTCACAAGTTTAAAAACCTTAAATAACTTTCAAAAAAATAAGTTGGTAATGGGCCGAATTCAAACCCTGTGACCCAGTCACCATCAGAATATTATAGTGTACGGTTGACATTGACAACACCATAAATACACATTTCTGCATATTATACAATTCTTGAAAGGTATCGCAGGCCTTACCTATAATTAAAAAAGGCATCAGTAAATTAATCATAAATTATTCATAACCAATTTTCATACATTTTTTAAAAGGCAACAGTCAATAAGTTTATTATGTGTTTATGATTATTTCACTAGTCCACCTCAGTCCTTTACAGAAGGCACACACATGCAGTTGAGTAAACATAAAACAGCAGTACCTCTTGTATGATGTACCTTGTTAATAAACAATTTTAAAGTAAAATGAAATTTAATTTTTGTAAATCATATTTAAATTAAAAATACACAACTGCATGAGAATTTAAAAAAAATTGTATTTGGTAAGTATTATTATTTACTTTGATTAAATTGTAGAATCTAGGTGTGGTACTTCAACCTATGCAATTTCTAATACACGAACTATTCATTAGTTAAAAATTCTAGTCAATTTCGCAGAATTGTGTGTAGCTACCTACCTACTTCTATACTATTATAACATAATATCATAAATACCATATAAACTATAAACTCAATTTTCGGAAAAGGTTTGTTAACATTGACTAAATGTTTATATATACTATAATAATATGTAGTTTAGCAGTTACAAAGAGTATTCAATTTAGTTTATGCAGTATAGGTATACTTTTTTACAGGTGACGAAAAGATATATTGCATAAAATTTGATAATTATGAATATTCAAGGCAATAGCGATAGAATTTTCAACCTGGTGTTGGCCAAAATGTTCGGTTTCTATCAAATTTTGGACACTGAATCAGCAACATTTCTAGGCCGTCATAATGTTAACTACAAATTTTTCGTATTTCTCATTGTTTACGAATGTCTCATATCGGTAATTTTGTTCTTAAACGGTTTGTATTATTGTATAAGCAACTTTACCGAGGGCATGTTCTATTTTGTATTGGTGGGAAACGCGATGTACTTAAACTACAAGATGTACCTCATTCTCTACCACTCAAAAGCTATATGGGATTGCTTTTCGGTCACGAAGTTCGACTTCACGTCTTACGGTGTCCAGGGCATACATGCACTGAACAAGTGGCGAAATCTTTCAATTAAATACACGAACATAAACATGATGTTTTTTTTAACATACTTATTCGGTTTGGTGACGGCTCCGCTGGTAATTAGTAACACGTTTGTAACGATGAAAAATCACGATGGATCTACCAGTTCCTATCGCCTGAGCCTTCTCTATTTATATTTATTCGTCTCGGAAGAAACTTACAACACATATTTTTATGTATTTCACACCATCGAATCGTCTGGCTTTGCCATTGGTTTGATATTTATACTTATTTTTGACACTATTGTGAATACGTTGGCCATCGCATTAACCGGTCAGTTGCAAATGATTTCCACTGCATTCGAATCGGTCGGACATAAATGCCTTCACTCCCCAAACAGTAAGTACCTACAGTATTGACTTGCATGTATTAGAGAAATTTAGAGCGGGCAAATGCCTATTGTTCCTTAGGTATGTGGACTGTATAAATGTTGGGTATCGGTTTTGAAATGGTAGGAAGGTAATCAAGAATTGGGCATAAACACGTAAATAAATAATTCAATTTTTCTTGTATGAAGGGTTGACTACTATTTAAAAAGAACTTGACAACACAACAATAACAAGAATAACAACAGGTGAACACTAATTACTAATAATTTGCACAGAACAAATAAACACGACAGTTTCCGGTACGGTATAGAACAATGTTGCGGTCGGTATACGCGGTGGGTACTAAACGTTAATGAGATTCGTCGCTGGTCTCCTATGTGCGCGGACCGGTTACAATAATTACGATAATAAAAATAATAATATGATAATTAATTAAGGATACAATACAATTTTTATGACGATATGAGAATTATGAACATACCGCCCACCTTGAAGAGACGCGTCTTCAATCATGAAGTGGCATCGGACATAACTTGACTGCGGGCCGGGTTAGCACTTTACCGGTGGCGGTTTGTATTTTGGCTACCCTGACAACTCCATCCATCCCCGGGTGGACTTCAATCACTCTTGCTGTTCTCCAGGTGAGAGGTGGAGTGGGCTCCTTGACGATAACTAGGTCCCCGATCTGAAGGTTGGGGGTGACTCGAGTCCATTTTGGTCGTTCTTGCAAAGTGTGGAGGTACTCCTTTTGCCAACGGCTCCAAAAATGATGTTGGATTTGCTGAACTAGTGACCATCGTTTACGTAGACTTATCATTATGGATTGGTCCGGTTCTTTGGGTGCTGGGATAGCGACAAGAGGTTCCATGGTTAAGAAATGTCCAGCTGTCAGCGTTCTGAAATCGCTGGGGTCTGAAGACATTGCACTTAGGGGTCTAGAATTAAGCGTGGCTTCTACGTGGTGGAGGACTGTGTTCAGTTCCTCGTAGGTTAACACTCGATCCATTATAATTCGGTGAAGCAGGGTTTTTACTGACTTCACTGCAGCTTCCCAGAGGCCACCCATGTGAGGAGCTGCAGGGGGATTGAAGTGCCATTTTATCTGGTTTTCCACGACGTGTTGGGCATAGTTAGGCTGACGAATAATAGCATCGATTTCTTTTAAATACCTGTGAGTACCCAAAAAGTTGGTTCCACAGTCGCTGTATATGTCAGAACATCGACCCCTTCGACTAATGAAACGATCTAATGCTGCTATAAAAAGGGGGGTAGACAGGTCGGATACAAGCTCTATATGGATGGCGGTGGTGACCATGCAAACGAAGACACAAATATAAGCTTTTGTTACCTTAACTTTTCGCAGCATGGCAGCCTTGACGTCAAACGGTCCAGCAAAATCAACTCCAACTTTTGAGAAAGGTTTGATTTGTGCTAAACGGTATGGTGGTAGATTTCCCATGACCGGCTGCGACATGCGTGGTTTCACTCGAAAACATGGAATGCATTTATGTGTCCTTTTTTTGATAATACTACGAGCTGACAATATCCAATAATCTTGACACAAGATGTTCTGAAGTGTTTGAGGTCCGGGATGACTTTGGGTTCTATGAACATAATCAATTAGTAACGCAGTAAGACGTGAACACTTGGGCAGTAAGAGGGGATATTTTTCATTGTATGGCATCTTCGCATTAGCTAGACGACCGCCCACCCTGAGAAGACCATGCTTGTCCAGGAACGGAGCAAGTTTACGTAATTTCATTGAGCACGGTCTGTCCTGTTCAAGTTGCTTGATGTCATCGGCGAAAAACACATGTTGTGTCCATCTCACGAGGGCTTGCAAGGCGAAGTCTGTTTCTTCAGATGTTGGAAGTGCAGTGGTTAATGCAAATGTTTTATCCCTTAGTCGATTTCGGAAACGTAACAAATAAACGGTTAATCTTAAAATTTTTGGTAAGTTATCAGAATGGTGCAACAGTGCGACTTCTTCTTCCTTTATTACAGCAGTCAGTGTAACAGGTTTCTCTTCTATTTCTTCTTCGAGGGAATCCGTTGGTGACATTTGAATTTTTTGAGGCCAATCGCTAGGGCCATGGCGGAGAAATTCTGGTCCATTCCACCAAAGTTCGTGCGTCGCTAAGTCTTTAGGTCCTAAGCCCCGAGAAGCGCAGTCGGCAGGGTTCTCTGCCGTAGGAACGTGGCGCCAAGTGTCAATACAGGTAACTTGTTGAATCTTTGCCACACGATTTGCAACAAAGGTCTTCAGTTTTGCTGTGGGAGTTTTTATCCATGCTAAGGTGACGGTTGAATCTGACCATGCTATAACCTGCCCTATATCCAGATTAACGAGGTTTGGTTTTATAAATTCAAGTAAACGAGCTAGAAGCAATGCGCCGCACAACTCTGATCTCGGAATAGACATTTTTGACGCTGGAACTATTTTTGATTTTCCCATGAGTAGTTTGCAAGTCACCTCATTTCCGGAGTCTACACGTAAGTATACGACTGCTGCATAGGCGGCCTCGGAACTATCGCTGAATCCATGTAACTCGTACACGGAGTTTGGTTGGGTAACTTGACGTGGGATTCGCAGGGTTGCGAGGACTGGTAGTTGTTCATGGTATTTTCTCCACGCAACAATTGCTTCTTCTGGTATTTCCTGGTCCCATCCAACTTCTGCTAGCCACAGGTATTTCATAAGTCGTTTTAAATCTGTGGTTACTGGTGCTAGTAGCCCAAGGGGGTCGTAAATTCTTGCAATTTCAGACAATATAGCGCGTTTGCTAAATCGCACAGGGTTAGGTTGATAACTATAACTGAAGGAATCCACACGCGGTTGCCAGTTGAGTCCAAGCACCTTGGTGTAGTCCGAATCGTATTCCTTAAACGCGACTGGATGGGTTTGACGATGATCTTCTGGAATATTTTCTAATAGCTTCTTTGAATTACTGGACCATTTTCGCAACTCAAATTGTCCTTTTGCGAATATGCTGACTAGATTTTGTTGCATCTTTATGGCCTCCTCTTCGTTTTCAGCACCAGTGGCTATATCATCTACATACATGTCCCGTTTTACGATAGTCTGTATTTTTGGATTATTTGTTGCTTCGTCTTGGACTAATTGATGAAGGGTTCGTATAGCGAGAAAAGGTGATGATCTCAACCCAAACGTAACGGTATTCATTTCATATACCTGGATGTCTTCATTGGATGAGAATCGGTATAGCAATCGTTGATAAGATCGATGGGTTTCGGTGACATTTATTTGCCGAAACATCTGTTTTATGTCTGCAGTGAATACAATAGGGTGAAGACGGAATCGTAAAACTATACCTGGCAAGTCCTGTTGAAGTTTTTGTCCACAATGGAGATGATCATTCAATGACATCCCAGAGATTGTCTTCATTGAGGCATCAAAAACAATGCGCATTCTTGTGGTAGTGCTCCCAGGTCGTTCGACTGCTTGGTGTGGAATATAGTAAGAATTACGTTCACTTTTTTGCTCATGTTCTACTTCTGACATATGTCCAGTATCTAAGTAATCTCGCATTCCCTTATTGTACTCTTTTCGTAACTCAGGTGATTTTTGAAATCTATTTTCCAATTGTCTTAGTCGACATAACGCTTGATCCTTGGAGCTACCCAAAAGAGGTAATTTTTGCTTGAACGGTAAGTTTACAATATATCTACCATCCGGTTGACGATTGGTAGTTTCCTTGTATATTTCCTCGCATTCAATGTCCTCTGGCGTATTTTTTACCACGGTTGGTACATTCTCTACTTCTAGGAATTGTTTAAAAGTCCGGTCAATGGACTCCAAAGTTGAACACATGGTAACAGGTATAGAAGCGACTGGACTGGAAATTCTACCCATAAGTACCCACCCAAACACAGTAGAGAATGCTATCGGCTGATTAACATCTCCTTGTTTTTTTTCTCCCGATACGACATATGGAAACATATCTGCTCCGATCAACAGGTCGATCGGTAACGGTTCGTTATATTGTGGGTCTGCCAAGTTCAATCCTTCCAGGTGAGGCCACGATTCGACTTGGATACGGTTTGAGGGAAGGGATCCGGTGATTTGGGTTAGTATCAAGACATCTAACGTGAAACGCGGTTCATCGCAACTAACAGGACATACAACTACATTCGTTTTCCCTCTTACTGCTGGTACCCGTGTACCTGCTAGTGCTTGTATCATAACCTCACTCTTCATTCGGTTCAGACCTAATCGCTTTACACAGCCTTCCGTGATAAAGCTGCTTTGACTAGCACTATCTAAGAGTGCCCTTACTGTAATATAATGGCCGTTTTCGTTCTGTATTCTCACTGAAGCGGTGGATAATAATATTGAGCTATGAAGACGACGATTTTGTGTGGCGGCCATCGTTACATGAGCTGTGACACTCTGCTCTGGCATGGTACTTGATGATTCTGTAACCCGAAGGTGGAGCATGGTATGGTGTCTTCCTCCACACTCATAACATTTTTTCGTATTTTTACACTGGTTGGCTAGGTGTTCGCTGAAGCACATAAAACATCGATTTAAATCTTTGATTATCTGGTAACGTTCCTGTGGATTTTTCTCTTTGAATTGAGAACAGTGAATGAGAAGATGACCAGGTTGTTCGTTGCATACTTGACATGAGAACGTTTTTTTTTTCACCATGGTCATATCGCTGAAACTTATTAGTTACCGTTTTTTGTGCTTGCTGACTACTGAACATAACGGTTGGTTTTGACGATTTATATCCTTTAATATACGGTTTCACAACTTCATTACTGATTTGGCTCACAGTTGCAGATTTGCAATACTTGGTTAAAAAGGTTATAAATTCCTTAACGGTTGGATCTTCGGTAGTATCAACTAGTAACTCCCATTGCGCTCTGAGTGGTTGGTCCAATTTCTTCTGTAGTAAGTGCAGCAGCACAGGATCCCATTGGTCCACTGGATAGGTCAGATTTTCCAGGGCGCCCGTAGACTCTGTAACCACATTCAGTAAGTTCCTAATAGACGTACCGTCACTAAAAGTTGCTTTAGGTGCGTTTGAAAGTTCATCTAAGTGACTTTCTGCGATGATACGACGGTTTGAATATCTCGCTGTCAATTGTGACAAAGCTAACTCATAATTACGGTCGGTTAACATTAGATTCCCTACCAGTTTTGAGGGCTCTCCTTCAAGATAGAATTTTAAATATCCGAACTTAGCGACTGTTTTTATATGTTCATTTTCGTGTATGATAGTATCAAACAGATTACGAAAATTAGTGTACTCTTTTGGATCACCTCTAAATTTCGGAATCGCTAATTTTTCAATCGGTAAAAAGGTGGAAGTAGGTTCCTTACGTCTTGGTTCAATAAAGGTCTGATTTAGTTCTGCATTTGAATTCGCTTCAGGTAAAAATTCATCTGCAATTATTTTACACTTAAAATACACTTCTTCGAACTCCGAGCGTATTTTATCTGTGACGACATCCTCTGCAGTTGAACCAATCTTGCTCAAATGACGAATTATCGTTGTTATTTGTAATTCAAAATCATCTCGCAAGTTCTCGAGAGTAGTGTACATTATTTTAAATTTAGTAACACTGGTTTTCGTAGCTTTTGGATCCGAAAGTTCCAATCCGGCATCATGAATACGCTGTATTCTCTTTTGCAGATCACCTAGACGTAACTTAGCTTCCTCGTATACACCCATTGTATACTTAATAAATTAAATACCTTTTTTAACGACGTATCGGACGGATTTGCGTAAGTACGGTAGTAGAAGGTTTTCTATCACGAACGACAATGTCGTAATAATATACGGTAATAATTATAATTTATAATAATTCACGGTCATTGACGTTATATATATATATATCGGTGTGATAAGCGGAGTAGGTCGCGTTCGGTTAGTGATCTTGTCCGTGGGTATTGACGACGGTGAAATTATCGCGGCGACGCGGCTATCTCAGGAAGGTCCAAAGTCCAATTCACAAATAATGCGTTCTGTAGCCGCTAATACGTAATACTCGTGCAGTTACTTATAACCATTACCATTACGATTCAATCACTTAGAACAAATAACAATAATAAAAATAACATACCATATTATTCATCCTAGGCTCGACGGACCAAATGTTCCTTAGGTATGTGGACTGTATAAATGTTGGGTATCGGTTTTGAAATGGTAGGAAGGTAATCAAGAATTGGGCATAAACACGTAAATAAATAATTCAATTTTTCTTGTATGAAGGGTTGACTACTATTTAAAAAGAACTTGACAACACAACAATAACAAGAATAACAACAGGTGAACACTAATTACTAATAATTTGCACAGAACAAATAAACACGACAGTTTCCGGTACGGTATAGAACAATGTTGCGGTCGGTATACGCGGTGGGTACTAAACGTTAATGAGATTCGTCGCTGGTCTCCTATGTGCGCGGACCGGTTACAATAATTACGATAATAAAAATAATAATATGATAATATAAATATGATAATTAATTAAGGATACAATACAATTTTTATGACGATATGAGAATTATGAACACCTATTAATTATCTCATCAGGGGTGGTCAAGAGAAGAAATATTTCTTTACCTCGGATCCATTTTTATAAATCTACCCCCATGGCCCATAATAATGCAATACTCAATATACATATGTAGATATTGATGAGTAAATTTTAAAATGTTAAATGTTAATATTATTAAACAAGATACATAATTAAAGAATAAAAAATTCTAGGGAATGGAACGGTGATATTCTATCTTCGTCCAACACACGTGGAATATAGGAATTTAACCATATTGTTTTCATTTTAACTTATAAAATGATCTAGTTAGGCTATAAGAATATTCTGAAAATAGATTTAAAATTTTCTTCATGGCTACTAGATATCAATTTCCCAACTTTTAAATGTTTTTACTATGTTGTTTTTTGTAGTAAATATTGATAACAAGATGAAGTTATCTAATGAAAATATAAAATATATGGCACTTAAAAATTAATTAAAAACCCTTATAATAGACCATCAGAGCGTTCTGAAGTAAGTACCCATTAATTTTGTTTTCTTAAAAAAAAATGTATTCATTTTAATCTAAAATATTAATATTTAGTGTAAGTTTTGAATATTTAATGATTTAATTAATATAAACATATTAAAGGTACATGAAAAAATAATATTATCAACAAAAAAATTAATTTTTTATTTCAAAAATCAAACAATAATGTCTTGTTGTATAATATGAGTTTATTTGTAATAATTTGTATCTTTTTACATAGGAAATATGATGAATTTTTATCAATATTTCGACCAACATTGTTACTGCAAGTATTTGTTTTATCGTATACAATCATTTTATTTTGCTTCATTTTTATATCGGTATATACAAACATAATGGAACACTAACATTTATTTATTCAGATAAATATAATTATTTTTTTTCAATAATATTTTATTGGTTTATAGATAGCTTGGTAGTTTTCACATGCTATTTATATATTTAAATATGTATGTATATTTCACGATAAGTGATTTCATAAATTGAATGTACTTAATGTTTCAGTGTTTTATGGAAGAAGATATTACGCATTATATGGTATTGACATTGGTGAAATCTGGTTTTTCAATTCCTTTTTTTACTTTTCAAATTTATATGTCATGTTTTCTATTTGATACATTAGAAACTAAAGTAATTTCAAATTTATTTACCATATTAAAGCATTTATTGCATGAGTAGGTACATAATCTACAGAGGAGTTGTACAATAAAATACAATGTTCATTTTAAATAGTACCTAGCTTAGATATTATTTAATTTCCTAGAAATATAAAACAAAATTTTAAAGTAGGTAGTATCAAAAATGTGTATGTAGTAGGTATTTTTATTTTTGTTATATGGAGCAGTAAAAATGCTTCAATCATCAACTTTAATAAACCTATTTAGTGGTAACAAAGTGTACCTATCTAGTTGGTAATTTCCATAAAAGATTACTATTTTAAATTTTTTTCTTATGAGAGTTTAATTTTTTAAATATTTTGACTCTTTTTGAATTAATTCTAGACATTTGAAATTTTTTTTCCTGTAAATAACGATTTAAAAAATGTATTACAATTTATATAGTAGTAATTTCTCAGTATTTTTGTATAATGTAAATGTTAAAAAAACTTGAAATTTTAATACAAGGTTCCTCCATAAACTGTTATTAGCGAAAATTGAAATAAAGGTTTAACGTACTTCCACAATAATTTATTATTAGCATCTAAAGTTAGAATTATGACAAAATATTTTGATCTAGAAATTTACAAAAATTGTTCCATGTTCATGTAACATTTAAAAATTTAATACAAGATTCTTTATAAGTCTTATTACATTAAGCAAAAAAACAACTTAAAAAAAATAAATACCAAATTGCCTGATTTAGAAATAAGAAATACAATAGTTAGCATTTAACCACGTCCTTGTATAGTGCGTTATCCACTCATTTTTTTTTTTATATATTTAGGTTGCATTAAAAAGTTTGTAAATTAATTAATTAATTAATTTCTTTTTATATGTTTTGTTTTTTTAGAAAGATTCTATAACAGTTGGGTTGTATAGCTCTAATTGGACAGAAATGGATATTAAATTTCAAAAATTGATTTTGTTAGCAATGAGAATGGCTAATGCCCACCAGAATAAATTACAATTTACAAGAACAAGAATTATTAATATGGAAATATTTTATCATGTATGTTTCATATCATTACCTTCATAATTATAAAAATATAATGATCGTAATCAAACGAATATATATTGAGGTTTTAAGTTTTTAGTTTAAATATTGTTGTCCCTAATATTTTAAATTCGAATATTTTAGTTATAAATTATAAATTATTATAATTAACATACGCATCACTTAGCAAATTTTATGTTTAGAATAACCCATTTTAATACTTCATTTCAGATTTTTCTCGACTTAAGTGGGCTACCTGTAAAATTTTGATTTTTATTGCCCATTTCTTGTTTTGATTTCCGAATAGGGGTCGGTCTGAACTCTGAAGAAACCAGTGACTAGTCTATTTGTTGGATCATTAAGTGTGACGTTCCGGTCTCTTCAACCTCATCGAATGATTCGTTCTGAGTTGTAACAGTGGAATCTTCGGCGTAGATAAAGTATTGAGTTAAATAATGAGTTGTGATATCTTTATAAATTTATAGTATCTATACTATTAAAAATTCCAAATTTTAACAATTTAACTTATTTCGCAAAAGAAAATTCCAAAAAAAGTTAGTAATATTCAAAATAATGAGTGTTGTGTGTTAAAGGTATATTTTGTAGTTTATGATGAATATGTTTCTGTTATTTTAGTTCAATAAATCTAGTTATTAACCCAGTGGGCATAATACATTATCCAATTATTTTACACAATAAGTAAAACTTTGGTCTAATTCAATAAATAGCACATTTGCGATATCACATGATTTTACAGAGTACTTTATCTATATTTTCGTAGTGTGATATAAAATAAAAATTACATAATTTGAAAAAAAAATAAGGTCATAGAGGGGGTGACTGCCATGAGGATGCCCCTGCGGCTTGAGGTAACCCATTGATTTATCTTCTCCATCTAATTTTCTTGTTCCGAAGTGATACATAGAATCGTCTGTTTCGTAGTATTAGCGAATTATAGATATAAAAGTAGTAGACCAACCATTTTTGTCGGCTTCGAATCTCCAGTCAGTTCACATTATATTTTCTTTATTAGCAGTCTGCCAGTCTATAATTGATTATATCTTGTGCAGAGCTGAGGTTGATAAAAGCCGCCCCTGTTATAACTATTTGCTCTTGTATACTTTATCTATTTCTTCAACAAGGTTTTTCACAGTGAACGATCATCAATTTAATTATAAATCATTCCGTAGAAAAAATTCCAAAAGTCAAAACAGCAATCAATGAATGTCTATTAATGATTTATAAAAAACAATTATTATAAAATTAAAAAACCTCACAAAGTACTTTCCTAAAAATTTGGATTTTTTAGTTATACTGCTCTACCTCGGTGCAAACCAGAATTACATTATTATGTTTATAAGACTTTTTTGTACACTATAAATAATAACAGAGTATTATTTGATGTAGATTTAATACAAATTATGTTTTTTATTTTATTACAGACTATGCGTGTTTGTTACACAATTGTAAATATGATGCTAAATTGTAAAAAAGAAAAGTTGGTATGAACATAATATTATAATATTTGGTAGCAATCAATATCATTATTGATCTTAGTTAATAACTAAAATTATTATTCATAATGTAAAAGCATCATTTACAGCAAATATTTATGTCTTTTTTTTCTAACACATTTATGAAGTTTTTCACCATTTAAAAATAATATAAAAAAAAATGTATGTCGCCTTTTGGTCATATTTTATGATGTCTTATACAAATGTAGTAATGTTTATGTGAAATAAATTAAAATGATATAATTATTTAATTAAACAGATGTTCTTATTGGCTACCTGTGACCTATTGTCTAATGCCTATTGGTTTTACATTGATGTGTTTTTTTATTTTATTTTTGTGTCTGAACATCTGAACACGTTTCCCAGCGGAAAAAGTTCTCGAATCATCAACTCCGAGGCAGGCTTCTAGTGACAAATTGGGTCTAAAATTGTACTTTGGAAGTTGATCATTAAATAAAATATGAACATTAGTTAA